GGGTTTAGGGTTTAGGGTTGGCACTTTGGGCACTCAGGAAGTGGGTGTTCCAGGAGGACGGACCCGTGCGCTTTCTAGAATACTTCCCGGAAGCGATGAAGTTCGGCCTATGTTTCGGGCATCGTGAGGTCCTCAAACAAAAAAAGGCGTGTGTTCAGGGGACTCTTCCCAGCAAGCTGCAGCATCTTCGGCGAAGTCCCACCCGCACCGAACACCTCGGGGATGCATTTGTAGGGCCCCTCTGCAGTCGAAACACTCTACGGCCAGCCTCTGTATGACTTTGTTAGGCATGCACGAAGCGAACAGATGATCAGACCGCGCATCCCGGCCTGTGAGGTCAACGGCTTGTAAACCCGCAAACCCTTTCAAAATCTTCACCGCGGTTTTCCTCTGTGAGGGTCAGGTCCTTCACCTTATGTAGACGTCTGGCAGACTAGTAGGAACGCCTGAATCAAGTCCCTCTATGATTAAGCCTCCATACACCCCCAAATCCTACTCGAATTCGAATCGTGAGCCCCGATGGCACAAGGCGAGTAGCATTGGGCCTAACTATGGGGGGTGGGGGGGGGGGGGGGGGNNGGGAAGTTCGTACTAGTATCCGCTTCTAGTCCTTATGTAACTATATCAATATTATCTGCCCCAAAACCTTGTTTGAGTTACTAGTACTAAAGCCTCTATAGTAGCGGCAATTCAATCATTCAGGGATTGGAGGTCGACAATTTCGCCATAGAAGAAATCGAGAAGAAGACACCATGACAGTTTGTGGGTTTAGGGAACCAGTCATCATTAGGGTTCGCCCTGATTATCCAACACCGGCAGAGTGGGCTACTGTTGTACCGAAGGCACCTCCCCGCCCTCAGACCCTGACTCCATGATTCCGAACCCTAAACAAAGCTCAGCTGAAGCAGAACACCCCCAGCAGAATCCCCTCAGCCTCAGCCGAGAACCCAATGCCCTTACGGGCCCAGACAGGGCGCACTATAATTCGACCAGGGACAGCCGCAAATGCGATAGCTACATATTCCGGAAGCACCCCCTATAAACCCTCATCCAACACTAAAGGCATCCAAAACCCAAAGCAGACCCTCAACACTAAACTCCCTTTAAAACCTACTAAACTTCACTACATCCCATTGAAAATCCGCGCGCAAATCCCCCTAAAGAAGCCCGGCACTCGCACGAAGTTGAAGCGCTGCTTCAATTTCGCTGCCTCGAGCACCTGCCTCTCCGAGACCTGCCGTATGGACATATATTTTCATTTTGAATGAACCAATAAGCATCTATATATATATNNATATATATATATATATGTGGTTGTGTGCTGTGGGTTCCAACCATAAATGGGCGCGCTCCGCGGTGGTCCAGGATGCCCCCCACCCCCTTCCTGTGGCTTGTTTTCGTGGGTGGTTGTTGGGTTTTGGGGTTTAAGGTTT